TGGAGATGGTTCGATTACTGGGACACTGGGAGAAGAATCTGCACAACAAGGAAAAGATAACATGTTGACTGGAGATGGTTCGATTACTGGGACACTGGGAGAAGAATCTGTACAACAAGGAAAAGATAACATGTTGACTGGAGATGGTTCGATTACTGGGACACTGGGAGAAGAAACTGTACAACAAGGAAAAGATAACGTGGTGACTGGAGATGGTTCGATTACTGGAACACCGGGAGAAGAAACTGTACAACAAGAAAAAGGTAACATGTTGACTGGAGATGTGGAAATGGAAGCTGAGGAAGAGCAAAGTGATAAAGACTGCGAGCACATGGATGAATCATGAATTATCCTAAAACTAAACTTGATCTAGAATGCTGTTACACTGTATTTGAATAGATACCGTTTGTGTGCGAAACACAAAGGGCTTTCCATGATGGCATGAGCAAAGCTCATCCAATCAGAATGCGAGTGTGTTCTGAAATATACGATGTGACATAGATAGAATTCGGACGAGAGGAGTCTGGGTAAACTACATACTGTGTTATARTAATCACGTGATAATAATCAATTATGGAGTACGTTTCATACCTACGCTTCCAGAATCCCTTTCGGTAGCTYTTTTRWTTTGCTAATTTTCACYATTGTCTTGGTRTCCTCAAAAGAGTTTTAAATTTGAATATGAACAGAGATTTTAAAAAGGRTTGTGKTAGTTWAGGTATGAAKTGTYATTACRGTTAGGWTGTATTAGGACAACATATGGCCTTCTCTTCGTAGAACATATAAACTTGCCTCAAAACATTACAAACTAGTWATATCAGCTCTTTGAAATATTTTAWTGTGACTTTCCGGATTGAAAAAAYTGGAATTATTAACACTTTTATCGATTTTAAGCCAATCTTTGGCTTGTATGACCATATCAAGTGCAGCGTATCAATGCATGTATCATAGCAAGAGATTATAATGATCGGTTTTGCTGCGTAGATTGTTTAACTTATCTTAATTTATTATTGTAGTCGTTCATTGTTTCAGGTATACGATATTATAATTCAAGTGCGAATAATAATATAATCTAATTAAAACATTATGAGTGAGCACCTTCATAAGCTTTTTCCCTTTTGGCAAACTACATGATATATGCCGAGTCTGAATGATAAAATACATTCAAGTGTAACACCAAAGAATGGTCCCTTTCGCAGTTCCCAGCGCCATCTTGAAAGGTAGCCGTGCC